ATACACTCGGCACTCAATGTTGACTTTTATTTTCTTTGGTCCACTCATTGTTACAGATGCAGGTTCAAAGGTGAATTATTGCGTCATTGCGTCATCGTTTGCGTCATGAGGTAACCGTTTACGTGCCTTAACCACACGGCGTTTTACGTAGCTGATTTTCTCCGCAACACCGCTCACAACAACATCAATAGAGGACTGCGTCGTGTAGTTTTTAATTATACGATGCCAGATTAAATTAAAGAACTACTTCTCCAACCTTGTACCTTTCTCCAGAGTGCCATGGTGTATTGTTTATTAATGTGGTTCAGCTGCAGTGCTGCCCGCTGCAGTGTTTATTCTCCCGTTAACTCGCGGCAGCGGCCGCTGTAAAGTTTTCATTGTCTGACTGTCACACAAGCAGCTGATAAATATCCCCCATCCCCATAAGTGAATGTGTTTTACGGAGTCTACACACGGCGGCGTGCGTTGCCGCTTGGCGGTGGGCGTGTCTTGAGCTTGGGGAGTCAACGAGAGCAACGCGACCAACAACCAATCACATGAATGTCCCGCCCCGGACATACAAAGCAAAGCATTCATGCTACATCCATGCTGGCTAAATATACTGTCTATGCTTGCTAGCTGTCCATTCAAACGAAGTACACTGGATATAAACTCTCCTAACAGGCGAAAACCTACCAGTTTCACCCACTGTCTCTGCCACCTCCCCCCATGCCTGGCTCCTCCGGTTTGTATCCCTGTATGTAAAGAGGGACTGGTCATATAGTACCGCCACGATCATTTTCTCCTCCATTTTTTGACATATGGGAAATAACTGCGGTCTGGCTCTCCCAACATACACGCGGTTTGATTGGCTAGCGCTTGTACTGTCAAATTTGCATACGCGGGATTTGATTGGCTGACGGCTCCGTCGAGGCGGCAAAAGAACATTGCTCTACTTTTGCAGCGAGCACCGCGAGAGAAGCTACGCTGTGTGTGTGTGTGTGTGTGTGTGTGTGTGTGTGTGTGTGTGTGTGTGTGTGTGTGTGTGTGTGTGTGTGTGTGTGTGTGTGTGTGTGTGTGTGTGTGTGTGTGTGTGTGTGTGTGTGTGTGTGTGTGTGTGTGTGTGTGTGTGTGTGTGTGTGTGTGTGTGTGTGTGTGTGTGTGTGTGTGTGTGTGTGTGTGTGTGTGTGTGTGTGTGTGTGTGTGTGTGTGTGTGTGTGGTTCAGTGATGTGCAGGCAAGCGTGTCCTTCCCACACTATTTTTCCTGTGTACAGCTGGCTGCTAGTGAGAGTGTCCTGTATAAGGCGTCTGTGTGTGCATGTTTTTTTTCCAATGTGGAATGTGTGTGTGTGTGCTCTGCTTTCTAGGCCCTGGCAGCCATTTTTAGCTCTGCCCCATCTCTCTCAATCATATGAAAAGGATCGCCAGTCTGCACCTCTCTCTGTCTCTGTCACCTCAGCCTGTGCTACACTGAAACATTGACTTTACAGTTATGTGGAATTTGTTGACATGATACATTTAATTAAAGTATTCGTTTCAGTTTATTCAGTGTACCCCAGCCCCGAGACTCCCCTACTATCTGGGTCTGTCTGGTGCCACGTGACCCCTTTCAACCTCAGTTTCCTAAAATAGTGCTTTTCTTATTGCGCACAATGAACAGCAAGAGAGAAACGACAAACTCGGCTGCTGTGTTTTTGTTTGCTTTTTAAGGAAGGGCCCAGCCACCGGAGGCTAATTGGCCGATACCAGCGTCACTTCCTGGAAGTGGGGTCAAGGCGCAGAGAAGGAGCGCCCTGGTGGAAATAGGGGTGACTGACCGCGGCTTGTTTTTACCAGACACTGACTGGCAGCCGGACAAAAGAAGTGGAGTAAAGGATCAAGGCCTGTTGCAGTAATTACAAGCCCCCCCACCAACCCCCCCTGAGGGGCTTGTGGAATCGACAGAAAACAATGACTCAGCCGTAGAACGGACATAAATTGATTTTCTGCTCGAAGGTTAAATGAGCGGGCATTTCTACCTTACTGTAGAGGTGTTTTGTTGTGCCCATTGGCTACTTTAAGTATTTTGTTGTTTGTGCTTTCTTGAGGCAGAAGTCAATATCGAAAGTCTGTGATGGACATACCTCGGCTGTTAAGATTGGGAAGTCATTGCCTTCAATGATTGTCCGTCTTTGCACCCGTAGTCATTTTACAAAATCACATGCACTGTTGCAACTTTGAAGGTGTTATTGTTTTCAATAGAACTGGGTGCCAAAATTGTCGCCCAATGACATTACGAAAACAACAAATCTCCCGTTCAACGTTCACACACTCACGCACACACACAGCAGACAACACAACCTCTTGTGATGCATTCCTTTGTGACGTCAAACCGCTGCCTCTGGGCTTCGAGTCACAGCACAGGATGTCTGAGAGAGGGACAAAGACATAGACAACAAAGACAGAAAGAGAGAGAATTGTTCATGTGTTTGGAAAAGACAAAATTAAAAGGAAAAGAGAGACTGACTGGAGAAAATAGATTTTCCAGTCAAATATGCAGGAGAAAAAAAAGGAAATAAGTGCCTGGCCCAGAAAGTCAGAAAGTGACTTACTTCCCTATAATAAGTCAAATTCTTTGCCGCTTCCCTCCTCCCTGCGTGTGACGGCCGGCCCTGCCATCAGTGACCATGCTGCCAGCAAAGGGGAAGAGCCTGGCTGCCGATCATACCGAGGCATGTGATTCCGAGTCACACCGCAGCAACCCACATCCTCAGCATTATATTCTATTTCCATAAAAAACAAAGCCTTCCAACGCTGCGCGGTTGCAGAACACGCTGGTTACCTAAATGTGTTTTCTTCGTAAGGCTATTACATTTAGTATACACTGTATACTTTTCTCATTTTGGATTCTTGGTGCTGCATCTATGTTTAGAGACCCATTCCTTTATATCAGTCATCTATATCTGATTCAGCGATGTCACTGCTGTCAGGTTTGTCACTCCCTATCAATAAAGTTCAATCATTTCTGGAAAAAAAAAACATTCCGGTTGGTTTATGGTTTCATAAAGTCCCAGTAAGTGTGGTTTCGGTCAGGTCAAAAGTTGTCTACATTAAGATAAATAATTTAAAGGTTTTATTTAAAAATGTTGGCAGTGGTGGAAAGTAATTAAGTACTTTTACTTATGTACTTTTACTTTACTTTTTTGACATATTTGTTGTTTCCTTGAGTATTTCCTTTTAAAGCTACTTAATACTTTTACTCCACTACATTTCAGAGGAAATATAGTCGTTTTTACTCACTACTTAATTGTAATACTCACAGTTACTAGTCACTTTGCACATACAAATACACATGATACACTGATATGGTGTAATTTTGTACTGTACTTCTTATCTACACAGTATTTAAGTAACACTTAAATGCTCGTACATGTATAAAACAGGATAACATAATAACCATAATATAATATTGTGAAAAGATCCATTCTGCATTTAGAATACTTTGATACTTGTAGTACACATAGCTGATAATACTTCTGTACTTTTATTATTCTGAAATGGGTCATTGTGCAGAATACTTCATGTACATTTTGATGCTAATACTTTTGTACTTTTACTGAAGTAACATTTTGAACTCATACTAGATCATAGTATTTGTACTTTTAGGTTTAGGGTCTGAGTACTTCTTCCAACATGGAATGTAGTAACACTTGGTCATTGGTTCCACAGCATTTGTTTATCGATATTCAAATGTTTAGTTAGTGTTTTTGAAAATGCAACACTTTACAAGACATCCATCACACGTGTTTCAAAGTTGTTTTATCACAGTTTTAACTTGCAAATCACCAATTGTTGTTAAAGTAATCGAAATGAAAATATTCTCTAACTTGACATTAGCAAGATAAGTGTTTACTGATTTAATATTGTTTTAACTTGAATTGATTTCCCAGCATTGCAAGTTATTAAACTTCATGTACATAATATTCTCTCCCAAAAAACGATTTGTCATCGTCTCTGCACGAAAGAATGTTTGCTCCGTCATGATAATTGACTTGGCTTTTTTGTGAACTTGTAGTAACACTGCTCCTTCTCTGTATTCTTAGAAATCCTAACAATACAGGTTTGAACAATAACAGCTGTTGATCGTACTGGCAGTATTTGTCTTTTTCTTACTGGTATCTTGCTGGCGCTTTTGGAGTTTGGTTTTAGGAAGAGTTTCAGACCCTCCAGTTTCTCTGTCACAATAATGAATGCAAATCTCTGCAGAAAAAACGTCTTACCGTGAATGAGAATTTGCAACATGTACTGACTCAGATGTACAGTAACACTGAAAACCTACGTCATCACTGGTCCATTTATTCGCAACCGCTCATAGTGTGTTCACCTTTTTTAATAACAGTGGTTGCTTTTATTATGTTCTTTATTTGAGTAGCATTATTGTTTGGCCCGAGGGAAGTCATTTGGGAATTTAAGCGGTTAACACTTGTCATCATGACACATTCATATTGTCTTTCTTTGGTGCTTTCTGTCTTGTGTTGCATGAGGGTATTACTCTTCACAGTTTACAGTCTTTTCTTGGTGCAAATTGTAGTTCTCTGCTCTGAAAATATGAAAATCTGTGGTGCAACTTGTTTTGAAAAGCAATTACTGGTCGTTTCTTGTGATTCCCATTATTTTCCTCCCACATTTTATTGCAAAAACAGTCCTTTTTTAATCCCGGGGTGAATGTCATGAAGTCTTCCATATTCCTGTAGCTGCTTCACAACAACAGCCTTGAGTGGTTCTATGTGTGGAAAGTCATATTTCTTAGCCAGGGACACAAGGGACAGTGTTGTATTTATGTTGTTTTGTCAAATGCAAGTGAACTCCTTTCAAATGCTACAGCCTTCCAAGGTTTCTAATTTGTCTTGCCAGTAGTAATCCTGCTGACGGAAAACAAATAGACAAACAAACCCATCTTAAAACATGACCTCCTGGGAGCGTTTTAAAGTCCAGTGATATATTTCGTTGCATTTCAACATGTCTTTCTCTTCCTCTGCAGTCCTCCTGTCTCAGCCCATAGAGAATGAATGTATGGAGGGTTTGACGCTGAAGATCACGGACTTCGGCCTGGCCAGAGAGTGGCACAAGACCACCAAGATGAGCACCGCCGGCACCTACGCCTGGATGGCCCCCGAGGTCATCAAGTCCTCCACCTTCTCCAAGGGCAGCGACGTTTGGAGGTGAGTGGACACAACCATTTTCAAGCTCGTTCCAGGGTTTTATTGTGAGGCGGATATTAAGACTCGTATTTGACCTATCACAGCACCTTACAGGAACATTTCCACACTTTGGGAAATTTGCTTTATTGCTGAGAAGATCAATACCATGCTGATGTCTGTATGCTAAAGCTAGGACTAAGCAATTGGATGTATTTCCCGACATGTCAAAGTGACACAAATTGTGTTTTTTGTTAGAAATTAACATGTTTAATTTCCCCAAATCAAGGTTAAACTTAAAACCTTTTTTCTTTTATTACATTTGTATTTTTATGCAGAACTAAAGTCATATTACTGCTTCGCTTGAAGGACATGTTTTGAGTGGAATAAATAAACCTGAATATTATATATATCTATATATATCTATATATATGCATGTTTAATCACGAGCCAATGAATACGGCGGCGTGTCTAATGATCTTAGTTTAAACGCACCAATCTGTGATACATGTCTCCAGCTGACTAATATATGTGTTTCTATGGTGACAGAGACGTCTCTGATTGTGAGGGAGTTACAAAGTAGGTCGTGCAGGATTTCACAAGGACGTTTGGCATAAAACACTTTAATAATGCAACTGAAAGGAAAAGGTGGTTGCTGGTGCCGTGTATTCTGATACTTTGAACACACCAACCAATAAAAGAAAGAACTAATGCTCTGCTCAATCCCTCAAGGGCTATAAAGTAATCAATGCTGCAACACTTGGATTTCAGCAGCAGGCCAATATTTACACCAATCACTATTATATTGCCATTTATTTCCTACTGTAGTTCAATCTGTGGATTCTCTCTATGATATCTTCACATCCTCATCCCTTCCTCTGTTGTGCCCTTGCTCTCTTAAGTTAGCTTAGGCCAGTGGTTCTCAAAGTGGGGGGCGCAGAGGCATGCCAGGGGGTGCGCGAGAGACCAGGAGGAAAAATGGTTAAAAAAAAAGATTTAAAAAAAAAAAAAAAAATCATAATTTTAAAAATTATTGATTCGAAAATAATATGATGCAGTACAGTATTATTACGTGTTGAGAGATGTATCCATAGATCTCTTCATTTTGCTCTCAAAGTGCACCAGATTGATGCATTTAACTTCAATATTTAAAAATGAAATCTTCCCGGGGGAGCATGCCCCCGGACCCCCCTATGTGAGGTCCACACACCACCTATAAAAATAGCACTTTACCCCTGCTAAGCTGATTATCGAGCCTTCATTGTAACAGTCGCGGGTACACTGTGTATTTGCGTGGGGAGTGTTGCAGTAGAAAATTCCACTGTAGCGACCGGTACATTAATGGGAAACCCTAAATGTTTGAGCACCCTCTATGAAACGTCAAGCTACCTGAGCTACTGAGCCTGACTATTTGTGTTGGGGGGGCCCGACTTTTTTTTTTCTCCAAAGGGGGGGCCTGACAGAAAAAGTTTGAGAACCACTGGCTTAGGCTAAGTGAGCTCTTAGCCCCGGGGCTAAGAAAGCTTTCATTCTGCCACAATCCTGACACATTCCAAAGTGGCTAACCCGGACTTTAGCCGGGGGCTTGCTGGCACTGCTTTTTGGGGTTTTCCCCTGAAAATCAACTATTCACTAAGCTAGGCTAGGAACCCTGGACGTGTTAGGAATAACTGAATACCAACTTCAAAGATGGCAACCCATTCATTCCTATTAAAGTTACACCCTGGGCTCTGGCACTTAAAGAGGCCCTTTTATACTTTTTGGGGTTTTCCCTTTCCTGTAGTGTATTATGTAGGTTGTGCAAAGGCTAAAATCCCTGTGTTTTTTTCTCCCCCCCCCCCCTGCCTGAAACGCCTCCATTGGACATCACTATGTAACACTCGCCCTTCTCTTGGCTTGCGCTCCAACTCATTGTACTTGATAGGCTAAGGGGCGGGACATCACTTAGTGTTTAACCAACCACAACAGAGCTGGCCAGCTAACCAATCAGAGTCGACTGGGCTCTGGTTTCAGACAGAGGGTGAAAAGAGGTGCTGCAGCACAGGCAGTATGAGACAAATAAAGAGCTTTTTGAACATTAAAGCATGGAGACGTGTCACTGCTTGATTAACTTCATGGTATTCATCCAACAACAGTATATTAGTTCTTAGTGAAAACCCCCACATGGTTAACATCTTTTTGAATAGTGCTATCTTTATCGGAGCGACCGTGTTCGCTGCATTTAGCTACGTAGCCGACCTTTTGAAGGTAAGAAATGTGCAGCATTCCATACTCAACTCTTTGACCGTTATGCACGCACATTCCAGGTACTCACGGTACTCTGCATTTTGTCATACTTCTCAGTGTAAATGCACTTAAGCACTCAAAATAGCAAGTGTAAGTATATAATCATAAATGTAATAATACAAATCAGCATAATAAAAAAACAATACAGCCTTTTGGCGTGATGTTTATGACCGAGCCTACACCAAGAGCAATTACAGACAATTAAAATGTCTTTATATTCATGTAAACAGTAATCTGTAGTAATTATCTGCAACAACTCAGCAGGAAAGTGGTCCTGCTGCATTGGTCTGTGATAGAAACAGAGGGGAAAGGGTGAAAGTGCAGGGGAGAGAGGGTGGGAGACGCGAGTGATGACGAGGATGATGGATGGCAGCAAGACCGCCGCACTCATGTGACGGCGTGCCTTCAAAGAGCTGCTCTGTGCTTTGTTGCGGGACATCTGTACAGCACACTGTCCCATTGTCTCCAGTATAGACAGAGAAGGAGGCCACACACCAGACCTAACCACAGCCTTTTATATGGGAATAGCTGTGTGTGTGTGTGTGTGTGTGTGTGTGTGTGTGTGTGTGTGTGTGTGTGTGTGTGTGTGTGTGTGTGTGTGTGTGTGTGTGTGTGTGTGTGTGTGTGTGTGTGTGTGTGTGTGGTGTGTGTGTGTGTGTGTGTGTGTGTGTGTGTGTGTGTGTGTGTGTGTGTGTGTGTGTGTGTGTGTGTGTGTGTGTGTGTGTGTGTGTGTGTGTGTGTGTGTGTGTGTGTGTGTGTGTGTGTGTGTGTGTGTGTGTGTGTGTGTGTGTGTGTGTGTGTGTGTGTGTGTGTGTGTGTGTGTGTGTGTGTGTGTGTGTGTGTGTGTGTGTGTGTGTGTGTGTAAAGAGTCCCTCGTTTGTGGTTTTATAATAACTGACTTGAGAGGGGATTCATGAGGGCTTTTAAGTGTCATTGTTAAATTAGCATAGGGAAAAGACAAATGATTTCCTAAAGCAATAATACACATGAATGGCTTTGCTGCATTGTGGTTACAGCACTTACTCACATATGCTATGGTTTAACTTTAATCCATTGGATTTGGACCTTTTAATCCTCTCCTAAATGGTTCTTTGCAGCCCAACACAGAGCCTACGTGAAGCCAATTGAACATGCTGCTACTGAGAACCTTTTAGAAAGCGTCTTTGAGGACATCAAAAATGGTGGAAGCCACTTAAGGAATTTTCTGGAACTCAACCCTATTTAGTGTACAGTGTCTCCTCAGTGTCCCGCACACATCCTCTGAGTTTCCATGTCCACGTCTCTGAACAACAATCCCACATAAATTCATTTTCACAGCTATCACAGCACAATCTGGAAAACGGCTAAATGCGCAAGAGCTGAAGGGTGATCTTTGTTCTACCGTTCTTTCTCTTTTGTCCACGGCCGCTCGTCTCCAAAGCCGCCACGCGGAGACAGCGACCGCCTCGGGGACGTTGAGCTGTGTTTTTCTGCCCAGTGTGTGTGGAAGTTGTAATTAAATAACTAAATAAAAAAGGGCTGTGGCCTGCACTCTGCACTTAGCCAGCCTCCACAGTGCTCAGTGGAGTCTGGGGGGAGGGGTAATTGACAGTGTGGGAGATCCAAGTCCACGCTTCATCTTCTGAGGACACAGAGCTGCTCCCATTGTGTGGCTTCAAAGTCTTGTGTGTGCGTGCATTTGTTCGAGTTTTGCATGCATGAGTTTACAAGCACATGTTTCACAAAGCAAAAATATTTCACTTTAAACAATGTCTTTGTTCTGTACTGCCACCACTATGATAATGAATTGGTAAGGTATTATGTGCTGAACAAAGCAAACTAAATGTCCATAAGTAGAAGTAACTCAGGGTGCAATGAGCAATTATCCTTTGAAAAGCATAAATCAACACTTTTTAGACTTTCCATTTGTATCAATTATTGTATGGATGTTTGTAAGGCAAGTTTATTTATATAGCACCTTTCAACACAAGGCAATTCAAGGTGCTTTACAAAAATGAAAGACAAAGGCATTTAAAAACAGTAAAAGATAATAAAAGAAACATTAAAAGAAAAAATAAATGAATAAAAAATACATGGATAAAAGTTACAGTGCAGTTTAAGCTATGAATAGTTCAATTAAAAGCAGCGACAAAAAGAAAAGTCTTCAGCCTGGATTTAAAAGTATTCAGAGTTGTAGCGGACCTGCAGGTTTCTGGGAGTTTGTTCCAGATATTTGGAGCATAATAACTGAACGCTGCTTTACCATGTTTAGTTCTGACTCTGGGGACAGAAAGCTGACCAGTCCCTGAAGACCTGAGAGATCTGGATGGTTCATCATTTAGCAGGAGGTCAGAAATGTATTTTGGGCCTAAACCATTCAGTGCTTTATAAACCAGCAGCAGTATTTTGAAATCTATTCTTTGACACACAGGAAGCCAGTGTAAAGACTTCAGAACTGGAGTGATGTGATCCACTTTCTTAGTGTTAGTGAGGACTCGAGCAGCGGCGTTCTGAATCAGCTGCAGCTTTCTAATAGATTTTTTAGTGAGACCTGTTTGTTTGTGTGTAGCCTTTATTTAACCAGGTGAAGCCCCTTGAGATCAAAATATCTCTTTTTCAAGGGTGACCTGCAGGACATTAGTTACACATGTAACATAAAAACAACAGAACAACAATAAGGATGACAAACAACATAATGTACAGGGTACAGTTTACAAACTCTATTTACAGAGACAGGTACCATGAGTATCAAACAGCATGTCACCCAGCTGAGTTTTAAAATGATGCAGGGGAACCAAAGTGCTCAGTTTTAAACATGTTTGCAGACTGTTCCAATTTAGTGGAGCTGCACAACTAAAAGCTTTCTTCCCTAAGACAGTCCTAGCACTTGGCACATTTAATAAAACAACATCATGAGATCTCAGGCAATAAGTACTTTCAATTCGTCGAGAGATCAGAGAGCAGATATAAAAAGGTAGTTTACCCAACATGGCTTTGTAAATGAACATGTACCAATGACTGAGCCTCCGTACAGTAAAGACACCATTGCAGTAATCGAGTCTACTGAAGATAAAAGCATGGACAAGTTTTTCCAAATCCTGCTGTGACATTAGTCTTTTAATCCTAGATATATTCTTTAGGTGATAGTAGGCTGATTTAGTAACTGTTTTAATGTGACTGTTGAAACTCAGGTCAGAGTCCATGACTACACCTAGATTTCTGGCTTTATCTGTTGTTTTGAACATTGCAGACTGAAGCTCAGCGCTAACTTTTATACGTTCTGCCTTGGCTCCAAAAACCATTACCTCAGTTTTATCTTTGTTTAATTGGAGAAAGTTCTGACACATCCAGTCATTGATTTGTGCAATGCATTGTAGGCATGAAACGTTTCTTATCAGATTTGGCACAATAGATTTATTTTGTATAAAACAATATAAAAATATGTATTTGGACTGGATTGGTTCAGTTTTAATTTACATGTAGATAGCCAATTACATATCTAGACGTGTTCAGTGTTGAACATAATGGCTTGCTGTCATGTAACTTTGACTTTTCTGTCCCTTTAGTCTTTTACTGGGGACATTTTAGTCAATAGAAATAATGCACATATCCAAATTAAACACTTCAAACAGGCTTAATGGTATCATTTGTAACATTTTTGCATTAAAAAGTCAAAAAGAGGCTTAACCTATGCTTTATATTTTGAGTTCAGTATTTACATTATCAATTATTTTTAAAACAATGACAGGGGTAGACATTAAGGGTAAAATGCCACTGGTCCTCTGGGCCGGTGGAATTGTATTATCACTGGCCCCACCATTGTAACCACTGGCCCGGAGCATTCGTCCAAAACATCGACTAATAATGAGGAAAATTAACACATTTGTTGCTATAGTAATTTATGAACTAACTACATTACTACTTGTACTACAATATTTGAATCATCAGTTCTTCCTCATTTCCCTCAATTGTTCATATTTGGTTTATTAAAATAATGATATTGTGGTCATTGTTAAATAATGTCTGCTATTATTATGAGTATTATTATTTGTATAATGCGCTTTCTGCCTTCCTGTCATTAGGAGTTAGACATGGCTATGTAATAGATTAGATTAGATCCTTCATTATCCTAAACTGCTGGGACATTTCCCTATAGCCAATACCTTTATATTTTCTACTCTTCACTTACTTGTCAGCATAGGTCGGCATTGATGTACAGAGCAGACAGAAGACCTTGTTTATATTGACATCATATTGAGAGGTGCAGCCAGTGACGCGTCATAAAACCAGGAAGTAAGCTGCTGGTTCCCTCGGCAAAAAGCAATGGGATTTCTCCACAGGGTTTTGGAAAATAGCTGGAAATAAGGTCTGTGGAAAACAAACCTGTTTGATAAATGCACGTTTTGTTCAGCCGGATAATCTCCACATGTCTACCCTACTTTTATTATTTTCGAATCATAAATCTAATCGATAGATTATAAAAGGGTTTTAGGACGCGTCACTGCACCACTAGAAGCCAACTCCATCGATCAAGCTGAAACTTTCTCTCCCTCTTCTTCTCATGCTCCCTGTCACTCTCCTTTAACTTCTCCGGTGACTTTCTTTTATTTGAAGATAGTTTTTTGCCCGGCGCTTGGCCGGTTACCGCTGGTATTAAAAACATTTGGCGAATGGTTAGGTGGCGCGATAGTCTGTAGTGAAGGAGCGCGCTCACGCTCACGGGAGCCTGCTCGCGCTGCACACCGCAGCAAACAGCTGTTTGCTTTTCACCCAACAACGACAACCGACTCACGAAACGCTATGTTGTAGCGTTAATAAACGAAACAATTTAACAAAATTGCTTGTCAAAATACCAATACCACAGGACAATATATATTTTTTAAAGCATTTTTAGTGGCCCGAGCGGGCAAGTGGAAAGTATGTTATGCTGGCCCGGGGTGTCTAAATAGAGCTTCCGGGCCAGCGGGCCATTTATAATGTCGAGCCCTATGTATCTTTCTGTTTATTGCGGCAACGTATATGCATTGGGGTTGTCTGCCACAAGCTGTCTTAAATTAAATTTGAACCAGTTTTATGGCACATTTTTAAGATTCACTTTTCTGATGATCGATTTTCCTTTCAAACTGCATCGAAGAAACATTTTTTTTTAAGGGGTCCCTGCAATCGTGTCAGACTTCTACAAACAAAAACACAATAATGTGAAAGATGCTATAACCATATACAATCTTTACGCAACATTGTTTAAAGAAGACACATTCTGCTCATTTTCAGGTTCATATTAGTATGTAGTGTCTCTACTGTGACGTGTCTCCATGCTTTAATGTTCAAAACGCTCTTTATTGTTCTCATACTGCCTGTGCTGCAGCACCTCTTTTCACCCTCTGTCTGAAACCAGAGTGTGTGGGAGAGAAACTCCCTCTAATAGAATAGAGATAGATAGAATCGGAGGGATGAAACCCTCTTTAATAGTCACACATGCAGAGCACACAGTGACATTTGTTTGGATTAGAGCCTTTTGCACACCTTATACATGCACAAACTACTATTTAACACACTACAGGGAAGGGGCCTGCTTCACAGTCAAAGCCATTGTCTATCTGTTTGCTGGAAGACTTTCACTGTGAAGCATCTGGGTTTGCATTAACAGCTTATGGATATGTAAACCGCCTCAAATGGCAGAAGTCTAAAAAGTCAAATGAAAGAACATACTGTGGTGGTCTAATTTCACCATATATAACACTATACTAAAAGTGCTGATACATGTGTATAATGCGTGTTCGGGATCTATGCTGTGTCTAATCCTGTCCTGATGTCCTGTCTCATGCCTGTGTGTTTCCCCCCCAGCTATGGTGTTCTGCTGTGGGAGCTGCTCACAGGAGAGGCCCCCTACAAGGGGATTGATGGACTGGCCGTCGCCTACGGAGTGGCAGTGAACAAGCTGACCCTGCCCATCCCTTCCACGTGCCCCGAACCCTTCGCTCAGCTCATGTCAGGTGGGACACGTGTTTGGAAACATAATTGAACTCATTGCTCTGTTTATGCAACGACTTCCAGCTCAGTGGTGTGACAAGACAGTACTCTTGCGTAAGATCTAACCGGAGTCTCCTCTTTCCATTTCCTCAAAGCAGGGTTGAAATTGAGAAAACAAATTCCTGTATGTTGTTAATGTCGTGGCTGAGATGAGGAAGTGTTTTTGTGTGCCCACGCCACCTTGTGCAACTTACCAATTACTTTGTTGGAGTTAAAAGAAATGTCACCGGGGTGCTGCGGAACATGCTAGCAGGCTGTTATCTGCCCCTGCCAAAACACAGACACAGTACGCTCACATTCTCTCCGCTTATCCCCGTCTCTTGATGTCTGCTTGTCTTTTACGATTGTATTAGAAAAAAAGCGATCAGTGCACAAAGGCACCGATAGCCACCTCGGAGGATTAATTAATTATTGGATTGGTTTTTGATCTGCTTGTATTGCCTAAACTGTTGCAGCAAATTATGCAAAACCCCCCACAGCATGTTAATTAAGGATCATAGTTTGAATAAATGATCAGCTTGACTCTAGATTATGCTAACAGAAGTGCTGGAATATGTGTAAATATAAATGAGAGGCATCGCAGGATACTCTTTGGACATGAATGCAGGAAAACACTTCTAAGTAAGTAATTTGACCGGATTGGAAGTCTTATAATTGTAACGAACAAAAAGGGTGATATAGTTTGCCTATTTTTAAACACAAATTCTGTTTTTCTAAGGAATATGATGATCAGTGACCTACTTCCTTCTTTCAGGTCTCTTGATTCAAGAAAACACTAGGAAGAAGTGAAACTGCTGGAAACAAGTCAATTGGGTCTAGTTTAACGACAATGTTTTCCACTTTGTTTTAAGGAAACGACTCAGTACCAAACAAAATAACAATTTTCCACATGATCCTCAACATCAATTTGATCTGCTTAGGTCCATCACTTTCAATGTTGTATTGGTCCAAGGACAGCCATTCATAAGAGTGCGTTGGTGTAGTAATAATCAGTAATGGAAAGTAACTAAGTACTCATGTGTTGTACTTAAGTGCGAAAATGTGGTACTTTGACTTTACTTGCATATTTAATCTTTCTTCCTCTTGATACTTCTACTCGACTAGAGGTCAAATCAAAACATTGTCCTTTTTTACTTTAAAGGGGACCTATCATGCAAAATGCACTTTTGTACGTCTTTTATACATGAATATGTGTCCCCGGTGTGTCAGGGAACTCACCAAGTGTCAGAAAACACAACCTTCTCTCTTTTCCTCCATACCCAAATCTCTAAAAACGGGGCTGCAACGGAGCTGATACAGATTTGAATTTTTCTGACGTCAGAAAAGGGGTGCTCAGCCTATATGGGCAAGTCTCCACCTATCAGGGGAATGGGGGGTTGGGCCACGGCCATAGAGTGGCGAAGTCACGCCCATCTACTTCCGGTCCATGGGACCTTATTTCGGAAAAATTATGTATTGAAGTCAATGGAGAGAGAAAACTTATCTTTCGATCCCGTTTGAATTGTGCCATGAATTACACATATGATGTTTGTCAATCTTAAAAAAGAATTTCCATGTCAAAAAAGTCAGTTTGTCGTAAAACTGTTGAAATATAAGACTATATTGTGTTGAAAAGTGCTATATAAATAAACTTGCCTTGCCTATATTAAAAATACGCAACTACAAAGACTACAAATCCCAGTCCCGTAAGTGATGTCATAACTGATGTCACAATTGTTTTCCTCCGCTAAATATAAGAGATAGCTAAGATAAGATAACTTTAACAAGATTCCTGTGTGCTTAGTACCAGGCTGTAATCATACCAGCAATGGGTCTTGCTCGTTCTTTCGCTTCCCATCTGATGAAAGGACCAGGAGTGGCTGGCTGGATCAAGTTAGTTACCTAGCTAGTAGCAAGCACGTTAGTTAGCATTACAGCCTTAGCCTTGTCATTTTTATTAGCCTTAACATGAAGTAACATCAAGTAACCCAACATGTTAAACAGTCAGAGTAGTAGTCATATTTCGTGAACCCTTTGAAGAGTACTGTCACACCGGTGTGATCATTCTATAATACACCATTTAAGCCCGGGGGAGAAATGCTAACGCTAACGCTACATTAGCATCGGCGATCTTTTTCTACTTCATGCTATCTGCACAAATGGTTGACATTAAACATTAGAAAGACCAGGCAGTTCAGAGAGAATCAAAGACAGGCAGCTTTGCATGACATTCTTCTGGACGTGTTTCCTTGTGGTGATAGTGAGGGTAGTCAATCACTTTTTTGACAAGACAGTAGTGACGGCCATCTTGGTGACGTGTGTTGTTGTGAGAGTCTGCGAGACCAGAGATGTAGTTCATTAAGCGTTTCACACAAACAAATGTGTTACTTCACAGTTTTACGACACATTTTTTTTTTTTTTACTTGCAAAATTATCTTTTAAATTGACAAACATCATATGTGTAATTCGTGGCACAATTCAAACGGGATCGAAAGATAATCTTTCTCTCTCCATTGACTTCAATACATAATTTTTCCGAAATAAGGTCCCATGGAGCTCCCCCGGAAGGGGAGGAACTTCGCCACTCTATTGCCGCTCGAAAGCGCTGGAGACGCTGTAGTACATATGCCAGGCCTGTAAGTGGCGCTGTAGTCTGCCACAAAAGCAGAATCAGCCCTTGCAAAAACAGGGCTGGAAAAGAGCAAATAGAGCGAAATGAGGCATGGCTAAAATGCATGATCTGTTTGGTATTTTGAAAAAAAAACTAAAGACATGTTTTATATAGGTATGGCCCTACAATATATTATTCAAATATAGCATGATAGGTCCACTTTATTGTTAAAGGCAAGGCAAGGCAAGTTTATTTATATAGCACTTTTCAACACAAGGCAATTCAAAGTGCTTTACAAAAAATGAAAGAGATTAAGAAAATGGCATTAAAAAGAAAAGCTAATAAAATAAACATTAAAAGAAAAAATACATGGATAAAAGTTACAGTGCTGTCAATTAAACATTAAAAGAAAAAAGTACATGGATAAAAGTTACAGTGCAGTCTAAGATATGAATAGTTCAATTAAAGCTTTATTTACTTACAAATTAAGATTTTTGGACAAAAATAGTGTTTCAAATTATGATATTTAGTTATAAACGTTACAAGCCAACATTTCTTTCTCCAACTTTAGAGATTAGGAGAAAAAAAATAGACCTTTTTATAAACATTTATGTAATTTCCCAATTTATTTTTGAATAATTGAATTGAATTAGTTTTTGTAAATGTATTAGGATTTTTTTTTGCCTTGGGTACATTTATGTTTTATACTTTAACTCAGTGGCGAACCGTGTCTATCACAACTGGACCTTCTGTAGACACACACACCCCCGCCGCCCCTCCCCCACGGCATTATAATGTCCGTCTTTTCACTGAATTGTCGTCTTGAAAATTGTACTCACAACAATTCCGCAACAACTTCATCTTCACGTTGCACTTGTCATTTCAACGTTAAAAACAATAAAACGGCATGAATTGCTTCGTCGCATTCGTTCTAGATCCTCTGTCTCGAGCCAGTTAACTAGCGGGCCTTCTAGAGTACCCTGGCACAGAGGGAAACTCTGAAAGAATACGCCCATTGGCTACAAATCAATATATGATTGGTTGATCAAACTGTCAGTCCAAATGTACGCTCTCATTCAGTGCAACGGCCAGGGCATTCTATCAAGGATGTAGAATACCTTGTTGAAGGATATTCTACCCAGAGACCCAGAACAAGATCTGATTGGTTGCTTTCTTTTCTAACACAAAACCACTGAAATGCGTAGTGCATGGTCCGAGAAGGACAAACAAATCAACGTAACACTGTAATATTACAGATCAACAACACGGATACGATTCTCATTTATTCATTTTATATACATTTTATTTATATAATTAAATCGATTTTTTGTTTGTTTTATCTGAGTGTTCCAGGGTATTCTCTGAATACCTTGAAGGCCCTGACGGTTCGCCACTGCTTTAACTACATTTTGACTTTATTCCTTTAACTAGAGTGAGTTTACAGTGTGGTATCAGTGCAGGCTCTGAATACTTGTCCCACCACTGGAAATATCTGACCCGCTGTTTGTGTTACAGAGTGCTGGGACCAGGACCCCCACCGCAGACCCAGCTTCAGCTCCATCCTGTCCCAGCTGCTGGCCCTGGAACAGCAGGTGAAGGAAGAGATGCCGCAGGAATCCTTCCACTCCCTGCAGGAGGACTGGAAACTGGAGATCCAGGACATGTTCGATGAACTCCGGGCTAAAGAGAAGGTAAAAGGGCGCTCAGTGCAGGAGTCAGTAACCCTTTGTGTTCCCTTTGTATTAATCCATACATTTACATATCCTAGATTCTCATATGTGGTTGATTTTATTTAGTCAGACTTTGGTGTCATGTGGGAATACAGTGTTTAAAGAAGACATTTCATGCTCATATTCAGAAACTTATATTAGTTTGTAACAGAACATGTTTGCATGCTTCCATGTTACAAAATGTCTTGTCACACAGTCAGTTGGAATATTCCTTTCTTCACCCTCTTTCTCAAATGCTCCGTTTTAGTGCATTTCTCTTTAACACAGAAAAAGTATGCGCTGATTGGCTTGCGAGAAAGACTACTACAAAGGAAGTTCTGGCGTGTTGAGTCCCATGATTTCTGACAGGGCAGCCAACAAACTGACTGGGTTGTCATATTTCACACTTTAAAAAATTGCCTACTCAGCTAGCCAATAATGCTCATTAAACGTTTAATTCAAACAATCTTCGGCAGCTCTTTTCGAACCAGGTTGAGATGAGACTGTAAACCAGACACATGATAGGGACCTGCTCTTATTAAACTCCTCTTTCATCCACTTGTCCTTCTTCGTCCATCAGGAGCTGCGAAGCCGCGAGGAGGAGCTGAAGCGAGCGGCGGTGGAGCAGAAGTCCCAGGAAGAGTTCCTGCGGCTGAGGGAGCAGGAGCTGGCCCAGTGGGAGCAGGACGTGTTCGAGCGCGAGCTCAGCCTCCTCATCCTCCACCTGAACCAGAACCAGAACCAGGAGAAACCCAACGTGAAGAAGAGGAAGGGCACCTTTAAGAAGCACAAGCTCAAGTGCAAGAATGGCGAGAAGATCAGCCAGCCTCAAGGTGTGTTTATGTGTTCTGTTTTTGAGTCGTTCTGTCACAAATCAACAACCAGCCAGATTGTGTCGGCCAACGATCTTGGCGAGAAATCCCATTTCAAGGGCCATTAGTGGCTCAGTCTCTAGAAGCAACGATAACAACAACAGGCAAAAATAAATACAGAGCAGAGAGGTGAAAGTGAGGGAGAGTTTGTGGTACAACTGTCATTTTGTGGCTTTGCTTTGCTGTCCTATCAGGAATCACGTACGTTTAAAGACGATATTTAGAAAAGCAGGCTGCCGGTATTTTCTGCTGTTGTACAAAACCTTTGAAATGGTTTGTCCTTTATTTCCATCTCAATGTCAAACTCTTTTAAATGTTTCCATACCCTGAAACAACATTCACACAGATGTGACTACAGCAGATATTTAAACTGTCCAACACACTGCAGCATCCTCTACTATCACAAAGTCACACAGTTCACATCCAGTATGTTTCAATGCGTGTGTGAGTGTATTTTAGGCTGAGCAAGCATGCGTAAACACACTGTGTGTGTGTGTTTGTGAGTGTGTGTGTTGTGCTTAGGCCTTTCCCAGCAGCAGCAGGGCGGTGATGTGGTGGTGTTGGGGGGGTTGATGAGAGGGAAGAGTGAGCCAACCACGCCTTGTTACTTCCTGTCTATGGATACACTGCTGGCTGGCCTCCCTTCACTTTCTCACTCTTGCTCCATGCCTCTCTCTCTCTCTCTGTCTTTCCTTTTAGTTATCCCTGCCTCACCCTTTTTTCTCTCACTCGTCTCCCCTCTAGCTCCCCTTTTATTCTCTCCCTAGCCATATCTCCCTGACTATCTTTTTCCCTTTCCTCTGTCCAACATTATTATTCATATCTTCATCCTGTGTTGCTCTTGCAATCTGGACGCTGTGGAATAACTCCTATATGCCTAATCCTGTAGATACAAATAAAAACATTCTTAAAAAGTTCTTATTAAGGATGTAATGGTTGTATTTGTCACATCCAAACTCAAGTGTATACTCAAGGCCAGTGTTGTGCTAGTTACTGAAAACCAGTAACTAGTTACCATTACTAGTTACTTCATGGCAAAAGTAACTCAGTTACTTTACTAGTTACTTGCACCCAAAAGTAATGCGTTACTGTGAAAAGTAACGTTTTCGTTACTTGAAAGAGGGCTCCCATTAATGCCCTTATAGCCTTCATTTCAGTACTGTTATTGCATTGGAGAATAATACAATCTGTTGATCAACTTGACATGCCTTATATGCAATCTGGATTGCATCGATATTAGCTGGCTTTCCATTTTTGTATATTCTTTCTCCAGGTATTGGAAAAAGTTTTCCGTCCCATATGCCGTGTGCCGCCCGGACATGCTATCATGCTAACTAGCTCCCTGAAAGCGGGTGACTCCACTGTAGCAGTAGCCTGCATGTGTTCTACAACATACCGTGCAATGGCTTTATCGACTTTTCCCTGGCTAGCAGTCCTTTGGTTAAAATCCAGCCGCTGTTGCTTAGGTGGAGGTGGAGTGGCGTCGGCTGAGTCTCTGTGGTCTTAGCTACTAGCTTCGTCCCAGCATGTTGTTTTTGAATTTGTTTTAAGAGATTTGAATTACTGGTTTGGGCAGTAGATAGGATCTTTGACCCGCCAAGACACAACTTACATTTAACTAAAACGTTATTTTCTTTGTGCTCGACAAAAGTGAAATAGTGAGAATATCTCCAGGTGGAGAAACTAGACTTGAGCTCCGCCGCCGCCATGATCGTCTTGTTAGTAAACAACACAAACACGCCCACAGCCCGTCTCCGCATGTGACACAGGAAGTATCAAAGTACATTTACTCAAGTACTGTACTTAAGTACAGTTCTCATCTCTGTTCGCCTGGCTGTTGACTATATAAAAAAACTAACGCAGTAACGGAGTAACGCACCATGTAGTAACGGTAACTGAGTTACTGAATTCAAAAAGTAATGCGTCAGAGTACTAGTTACTGCCCAAAATAACGGCGTTACAGTAACGCGTTACTTGTAACGCGTTAGTCCCAACACTGCTCAAGGTTGTGCTAAAAGCTTAATACAGGCTTTGCATATGCATCACAAATGTGGCTCCTTCATGCTTGTATAGTGGCTAAATATATAAAGATACAAATAGCCTGGTGATGGGGAGATATATGTGCTGTGGTATGGCTGAAAATCTATTTGCACTCCAAGTAAAACTGTAAAATAAATGGCTCTTAATCTTCAGCCCTAGGTTCTACATAGCTTAAGTCAGCTCAATAAACCAGAGATCAAATGTTAGCTTATTTAGCTAACAAGCTAGTTTAGCAACACTGTTCAACTTTGTAAACAAGACCCTACTCACCCTACTAATGCTAGTTGCTAATGCTATCAGTAAATGAGAAAATTACACTTACTGAAATGCTACCCTCGAATTTATAATTAGTGAATTTGATTGAGTCATAATGTCAAGATACATGTATTAGTTGATTAACTGTTATTAGTGGTATCTCCTTCTTTACATCCGTCAGTGTCAGTCACACTCTCACAAATAAAATTGAGCAGTCTAATATCCTTTAAAAGTAAGCATATATATATAATTTAAAGGCACAAACCCTTGATTAAAATTGAAAGGAATTAAGAAATCCACATGTACAAATGACAGATTTAGGAGGGGAAATTGATATATTGAGGGCACATTCATATGAGGTAATTTTCAGAATGAATGTCTAAATCTATTAATAATGTATTAGATTAAATTTCCCTCTTGATACTCATCAGGCTTCTTTTTAACAGTATTGCCTTCTTCTCTCATCAGCAAATAAGTACTTCCTGCTGCTGCTGCTGCAGCTGCTGCTGCTACAATAGTTACTTCTACTAGCTAATTGCTACGGAGCTATGGGGCAAACAACTCTACAAGTTAATTAAATAAAAAGTCAATTTAGGGCAGAAATAAAAATGTTTAGGGATTTATTATTCATTTAAATAAAGTGACCCTCCTGACACGTTGAGCTCTGCAGATTTGTAGCAGTGTTAGCTAGCAAGTTGTAGCAGCAGTAGCATGCTGTTAGCCACAGCTAGTAGTTACTTGGTATGTTTGAGATGAAATGGCCAGCAGGCAAATGAGCCATGTAATATAAGGCTATTGAAATCTGCTTACACGGCACACTTTGACATAAAGAAACATTGTGTGCCAAGCTTAGAATATGTATTGCTCTGAATGTCCAGTTCCTTGGTAGTCAGTACGGACTATTTTGGACAAAAAAGGAACCGAAAAAAAGTTTAACAACCAAACTAACAACTGCTGAATGTACAAATGTTAAGCAGAGCGATGAAGGCTAAACAAATGTATGTATTTAGGTGGTCTAACATTTTTGTTTGTGTGTTGCAGATTTCATCCATAAGATCACGGTGCAGGCTTCCCCAGGCCTGGAGAAGAGGCGTAACTCTCCTGATATGGGTTCAGGCTCCTCACCCTCCTTTCGCCGTTTCCGTGCAATCCAACGTGAGTGAAGTCGTGTGTGTGTGTGTGTGTTGTGTGTGTGTGTGTGTGTGTGTGTGGGTGTGTGTGTGTGTGGTGGTGTTGTGTGTGTGTGTGTGTGTGTGTGTGTGTGTGTGTGTGTGGTGTGTGTGTGTGTGTGTGTGTGTGTGTGTGTGTGTGTGTGTGTGGTGTGTGTGTGTGTGTGTGTGGGTGTTGTGTGTGTGTGTGTGTGTGTGTGTGTGTGTGTGTGTGGTGTGTGTGTGTGTGTGTGTGTGTGTGTGTGTGTGTGTGTGTGTGTGTGTGTGTGTGTGTGTGTGTGTGTGTGTGTGTGTGTGTGGGGTGTGTGTGTGTTGTGTGTGTGTGTGTGTGTGTTGTGTGTGTGTGTGTGTGTGTGTGTGTGTGTGTGTTCTGAAGAACGAAGAATCCTTTGTCTTCTTGCGTGTACTCACAGTATCTGTTGCAGCATTACTCCTCACTGTTTCCAAATTCCCCCCTTTCATGTGCTCTCAACCACCCACTCATCTTTTTTATCTTCCCATGCTCCCCCCTGCTTTACTGCTCTCTCTCTCTCTCTCACACACACACACACACACACACACACACACACAACCACACACACACACACACACACACACACACACACACACAGCCTTTTCCCTTTTCAACAGTCTTTTCCAGTCCAAATATTATCTGACTTCCTCTCAGCAGCTTTTTTCCACTGCAGCCCCGCTCTGCTCCCCCTGCCTGCAGTTCACTCAGTGCTGCAGCGGGGGGAGCCATTGAGCTGTATTTTCCAGGCAAAAAGGGTGCAAAGTTTTATATGCATGTAGTGGGCTACAGTGCGGTTTACTGAATTAAAAATAAGCAGGGAGGAATTCACTGCTCTAGGAGAAGGGGTTGAGGAGGGTTGGAGGCAGAGCTTTACAGAACTCTTATGCTTGTCTGGCTCCTAGACAAACGCCCCGGGATCATTTCCCTTCGGAGGGAATTTGTAGCCAGTAGGTCGAAGGCCGTCTTAACAAAACCCAAAAGGACATTTGTGGTAAAGCAACAGGCAGTGGAAGGGAGTTTTTTCCCCCAAACAATTACCAGCGGGTGTTGACAAAAAAGCACAAATTGCAGTGAAACATTTATGTGTAAAAGTGGTTAGTAAATCTGCAACATCTGCCAGCTTCATTTATTCTTCAAATAGAAGGCGGGTTTCCTTTGCTTCCTAATGACTTTCCTTAATGGCTATCACTAAGGCATGAGTGTGTTTGTCATTAAAATGTGTTTAGTGGGTATTTATGCTTGCCCTCTCAGTAGTAAGCAGTGATTTATTGCTGGGGCTCTGCAAACGTATTTGTCTAGATAGCTGCCAAATGGATTTGTATTACTCCACAGAGTCTATTCAACAGGGTTTGTGTTATGTTAATACAAATGAGTATAGGAGAGCACAATGAAACCTCTTGGAAATTACCTCTCTCTTTGTGCCTTTCTTAGATAACAAGTCAAATTAAACTTTCCAATTTTCTTTAGGGACTTTTTAAACTCTGGGAACAATTAGCACTTTTAGCTGTCTGTGTCATGTGCTGAAACACATTGAACAACTTAATTAAAATAGAAATTCATAACCATTACAACTCGATTCAGGTGGACATTATGAGAAAAATAGTGCTTTTAAACAATAAAGCTTGTAAACATGTTTTTATAAAAGCCCAAATAGTATGGGCAGAAGATAAAATGGTGAAGTCTAAAAAAACAAATGTTGTGAATAGAAAGTATCCCATCAACACATGATGACATTAAAAGTAACACGTTGCGTAAATTGTGTTTTTTAAAAGAGGAACACGCTGTGTTTGCAAGCCACGGCCCGATCGGGATGAAATTGCATTGCTGCCACTATCACCTGACCTCTGTGATTGCTTTGAAAACATTTGATTGGAGAGTGATGGGAGGCAAAGTGCAGCCAGGCCTGCCGTGTAGCAAGGGCCAAAGGAAATAATACAACATATCCATTCAGAGAGAATATTTACTTTTTCCCATTTCTGAAATGAAGCCAGATGAATGAGGGAATATGCAGCACCGTAGCTTAGTGAAATAAAAGAGAAGTTGAAATGGTTCTCTTCTTTTGACTAACATGTCAGGTGTTACTGCTGAGAATGCTGCATAAGGTTTTCAGAAGGGTGCGATGGAGTCTGTTTATTGGGAGGTGTTGTGGCAGGAAGCCTAGGGTCTCCATGCAGGGTGTGAATAAACGTTCACACAGCGTTCACACACTTTGTGAGAGCTGCATAGGCCAGCTTGTGAGACACTTGTGAGTAGTGAGCGGCGTCGACACGGAGCCTGTGCAAAGTGTGTGAATGCCATGTGAAATCTCAACTTTATATTAGCAATCTGCACCTCTTCTGGTTTGGCTCATCTCACACGATCTGCTCTGCGAACCACTTCGAGGTTACCATCTATATCCATAAGATGGGTCATCTCAACACTAGGTTAGAGTTACAGGGGCCCTTTATGTGTCTCATACTGCCTGTGCTGCAGCACCTCTTTTCACCCTCTGTCTGAAACCAGAGCCCAGTCTGCTCTGATTGGTTAGCTGGCCGGCTCTGTTGTGATAGGCAACATTTCTAAGCGGTTGACCAATCACGTGCAATGTGTTGGAGTGCTCGCCAATAGAGGCGTGAGTGTTTTGTAGTGATGTCACTATGTTACGAAGTAAACAAAGGAGTCCAATGGAGGCGTTTCTGGCAGGGAGGGAGAGTGTGCGGGAGAGGGAACTTTTAGACTTTACAGACTATTTACATGTATGTACCTGTGTAACACACTGCAAAGAAAGGGACAAGCAAAAAAGCATAATGGGGACTTTTTAATCGAAACTTAAGCTGTGCAGAAATATGCGCAGAAAAAATGCATTGTCATGACTTGAGTTCCAGCTGTAGCAGTAGTCAATTAAAGGTCATTGTGTAGGAAATCATTACAGGGTTGCCGTCGATTTATTGGCGTAAACTGCCTTTTAAAAAATGCACACCTCATTAAGATACAGCTAAGCAGGATGCATACTGATGACTTTCCAACGTACATCATTTCTTTTTGTCCTCTTTCCCCTGCAGTCAGTCCCAGTGACAACAACAGGACGTTTGGTTTGAGCCCAGTCTTCCCCATAGAGGCCCCTTCTCATAAACAAGCCAATGGGGACCTGAGGGCTGGCCCTCACTGGAGGCCCCAGAGCCCCAAAAGCCCCAAAAGCCCCAAAGTCCTGCGCCTCAGTCCCCAGGAAAGCAGGTACAGTCTTTTCTTTGACATGTCAACCTTTTAAAATGTGGGATTGAACTCTACTGCATTAATGATCATGATTAAATCCTTTTTTATTTTTTCAGTCTGTCTATGAGGGCCAAGCTACTGGAGTCCGACAGCAACAAGGGGGGTGAATCCAAGGATGACTTTGAGGAGTACAGACCCTCCGAGCCCACAGCTCAGAACGGTATCTAACGGCCTCCATCAGCAGCTAACCGCCAGCCGCATATCTTCCATTAGCCACTGTTACAATTCACGCTGCCATGACTATGAATTATGCATAAAAGCTAAATGAATTATAAATGGCTCGTCTCTTTTTCCGTCTTTCTAAAACATTTTCCTCTCTTTGCAGGCGCCTCAGTGAAGGACAGCCTGCGGCTCCCTATACCTCAGCGAGACTCGGTCAGCGAGGAGCGGGGGTCCTCCCCGGCTGGCTCCCCCAGGCCTGAGAGGAGGGGCCTCATTAAGGGCACCCACCGGGCCATACTGGGCTACGGCTCCCTCGTGGCCTCTATAGGACTCGGCCGCTGCCTGGATATTCCCCCAAGGGTGCCACCTCGAACTAACCTCCCTTCCCTAGAGAACCACACCCCCTCCGAACCAGAGATCTCCCTGCCCATGCCCCTCATTTCAGACCCCCCAGTGGTGGACGATCTCATTACCTTTTCCACCTCGGAGCAGCTCCCCAGGCCACTCTTAGATTTAGCGATGCAGTACCAGGAACTGAAGCCCTTGCCCCTGACGCCGCCTCCACCAAACCCCCGTGAGAGGAGCGGCCGCCGGACGCCGCAGATGCCGCACAGCCCTCAGAGCCCCCGGACCCCCATTCGGCACAGCAAGGCCAGCCCAGGGGAATGGACCCCAATTTCCCAGTCAACTAATGGGGGGGTGGGCTGTGAGTCCTGTGAGCACAGAGCGGAGCGGAGGAGAAGGTCCAGCCACGGCCTGCACGCCTCCCAGCTAGGTCAGTGGGACTCTTCTACCCTTAAGGGGCACTACATCCAATAATAGCCTGTGTTACTAACTGGGGTTGTGAGATGTCAAAAAATTACACAATTTACAAAATACACATCCTGTAACAGTTCTGAGATATAGTAGCCAGGTATATATTGCACAGTTGCATTGTGGGAAGTGAAGGAAGCCCAGTAGCTTGGCAGCATGACTCATACTAAAGGCTAAAAGTCAAATGTCTGCTGCTTGATTTTGAACGTTCTTTTTTATAAATTGTTTGTTTCTTCCTCAACTTTATGAAAGTGCTGCACTAAATCACTGGAGTGCTCCTTTTAAAATGAGTCTCCTCTCCAAATCGAATCCATGATTTGGTTTTTAATTTATCTGCGTGATTCATCTGCATTTTCTTGAGAGCATATTTTAAGGAGGCCTCGCACTGAAATTGGATCCAACCTTGAAAAATGTACCTTTTCAGCATGACAATGTTCCTTCACAGCTTGAATTGTTATTGTCACTTTTCTAAAGGAAGATCTGTCTGGCACAAGGGAGGCTTTAATGCTGCACAAGCTTTTTTCATTTACATCAAAGCTGGTCTTCTGCTATTTGCATATCGCAGGTAAAAGCTGGCCCCATACTCACTGCTAATACCAATCAAATCCAAGCGTCTCTTGTTTTTTGCTCTTTCAAGTCAGAGTTTTCTTTTAAAGCAAAGTTGAACATTAATGCAAAACATCTGCACAGCCAAAGTCGCCTTAATGGTGCACAGGTCACTTCCTGTTATAGTTTGGCTGGGTGCATGTCGGGTGTATTTACGCTCCAGTTCAAGCACTTTTTCCTTTTGAGGCATGACAACTGTATGCCTATATAACAAGTGTAAAGAATTCAAACATGCTAAAGATCACATTCAAGAGGGATTAGCGTCCTTATAATTACATGAGAGTGGAGTGTTCTCATGAGGCATGTTTTATGCTTTTGTTCAAATTCAGGGATGTGCATATCAGCAACACTTGAATCCACTGTACATTACATTCACTTGTATTTAACCAGAGATAATGTGCATTTCTGAGAAGCTCCGACACAGTTTAGAGCCGTAATGACGGAGGCGTGGGTATAGGTTGTTTTTAAGAGCGAGTGGGCTTTACCGGGGCTTTAAGAGTGCCCTCTGGTAACATTTCACACTCTATATCTGCTCCATTTGTCTCACAAAGCTTGGATTCTCCACACAGAGGCTCTTACAGCGCTGCCCCCAGATACTGAGCAGACATGCCTCGCCTGTTCCTTCTGCTAACAACCGTAATCTCACAAACCGCATGCACTCATTACATTGGGGCGCACAGAGGCAAAAAGCCACACGTAGTTAAGCAGCGGGTGTTTTAGCTAAACATCTTGTTTGTTGCCTGCAATGACTCAGATGCATAGACAGACTGCCACGAGGTTGCCGGCAGTAAATGCTTGCTTGAAAGAGAGAGATGAATGCAGAGGAATCCTTCACTGCCGGTTGCTCTCGTGTGACTCCTGAATGCTCTTTTTCTTTGGTGTCAGCTGAATAGCCGAGCAGCCTCTGAGAGTTGCTGTTGATGTAAATAACGCCATTTGGCAGACACTTCCCATTTGGAAACAGCAAATGTTCATTCAGGCTGATTTATTCCGAGTTTAATGTTCTTGTCAGTGCTAATTTACACTTGCTGTTGCAGCTCTGTCAACTTGTTACGCGGCCCTATGTTGAAATTAATTTGAGAGTTACATTACATCCACATTTTTTGCTTGTTCCATTTCTTTTTTACACTAATAATGTAACACTTTCATGTTTTGGATTGAATCATTTTAATCCTACAGGTTTATGTGTTTTGCAAAATTTTAGCACGCAAATGCATATTTTAGATTGGAGAGTTTTGCAAAAGAGCACCAGTGCAACACTGCAGTGGTTTGAGAGTAGAATTTGAATAACAATTAGAGCCTCCTTAGGAAAGAAGGTGAAACAGAAGAAGATGTGAAGGTTTTTCATATTTAAAATATTCAGCATTTTTATGAAAATGTGTCCTTTTTAAAGGAAACCCACACGATTATAGAAATAAAGATGAATTTGCATCACATTAACTTATTTAGTTTGACAATATGTTGTCCCAGAAATAATTGCAATAAATGATCTCATGGTCTGTTTAGGAAAATGTGGAAAATGTTATGCCACAAATAATATATTAGCATAAAAAGGCAAGAACAGGGTGTCAAACAGTATTAACCTTAATACATTATTTAGAATATTCAGACTTCAGAATTGGAATGTGAAGGAAAATATTAAAATATCCTTAATAAATAAAATAATAACAAACCAAACAACTCAAATACAACGACTATCTTGCATTTAAAACATACACCTTAAGGCAGGGGTGTCAAACTCAAATACACAGTGGGCAACATTTTTTTAAATCAGTACTAGTCGAGGGCCGGACTGGTTCAATGTTTATTGCAAAACTTATTGAAATGAAGTTATTGCACATATTAAACCTGGAACAAACAAAGCTTAAATTATTGCCTATAAAAAACAACTCTTATGATTACATTTCTCCACAGGCCAACAACAGCTTCAAAAAAACAATTTCCCTCAAAGAACAAACCAAACATGCCCTGTTGTCTCAAGAGAAAAAGTGCAGAAGGAATCATCCATTGAAACTCAGTGTGCTGCTCTGTGATGCTAGTTCAAGCCAGATACTTGGCATCTCATCTTGGGTGCAAGTTCATCAATGTTTGGGCTCAACACACATGTAAACACAATGGACATACCCTATATCATACATCATTCGACAGTACTGGTCAGTTGACATATTATATAATGACTTCTGTGGCTCTTGATTAGAAGTCCAATACTATTTGGAATTCTGCTTGAGACTGAAACTATTTGACAGAAAACCTTAAAGATGCTTCTGATTTGCACTATGGGAAATGTAGGACCCAGTGTATTTAAAGCTTGATTATTACTAGGTGACTAAAAATCAGAGCACCTTAGCCTCCACATTCTTTCTACTCTGTATTCACCTATCCAGTAACCTTGTGTAATCCTTAATGGTGTCCCTTTAATGCTTTGTCTTTCTGTTCCCTCCAGTTTTGGACCTGCCCTTGTGCCAGGACTCACAGGACCCTGATGATAAGCCTCCTGTGCCCTCTCCCCTCCACCCTAGCCCCGCCCTCTCCAGCCCCAAAACCCGACGCCTGGAGGTCAGCGTGATCCCCCGGCCTCGCCCGTCCCCCATCCGCCCCCCGCATCGACCCCTGGAGCTTCATCTCAGCCGGTGGCGGGACCTCTGGGGGCCGCAGCCCGCACCGCTCTGACAGCAACCCTCTGGGCTACCAGCCTTCCCCTACCAACCCCTTCACCAACTGTGACCCCTTCCCCTCACCGGACTGCGACCCCTTCGCCCTCAAGGCTGACCCCTCGAGCGGCTCGGACACGGCTTCTCCCTTCGACCCCTTCTCCACTCCCTTTCCCACCTCCCGTTCTGCCCCGTGCTCCACTAACGGTTCCCCCACGCTGCCAACCTTCCGTATAGCGCCCCTCAACCCGGCCGATTCGCCCCTCATCGACCTGGGCTGGGCGGCCTGCAGCAGACCCCTGGATGTTACCAAAGAGAGGGCTCACCCCCGCAAGACACTGGGGCTCAAGCCCTTCAAGTCCCCAACGCAACTCAGAGACGATAGGTTCTAAACACGAGGCAAGGCCGGGGGTTTGTCGCAGGAACACAGTCTAGGACCATCTCACTACTATGTCCTCCATCTTAACAAACATTTGGAATCTTTAAGAAAAAACCCATCAATCAACCCACTGAGTGAGTTTTACCCCACAATCATTGCAGGTCCTATTGATACACCAGCCTGCCGCTTCGGAAGCCAGTGAAAGGCGGTGCTTTGTATTGTGGGAAAGCTGCCTTTGAACCAATAGCTGGTGCCCATTTTATTCTCCCTCTCTATCCGGGTTTCTCTCCCTTTGAAGAAGCAGAACACAGATCACCAGTCCCATCTTCCGATCCTAACAGGCTGCTCATATCACCTGCTTTCATCTCCCGCCTACCTTTGAAGCATTGTGACAATGCAGAGGTGGATAAGGCGCCTTGCACAGCTTCATCTGCCTCTACCTCTCTGCAAACTGAAAGCATTCAGGACAATGGAAAATTGGAGTGCCTTAGTTCGTGAAGTGTTTTTAGTATATATCTTTTCAAGATTTCTTATATGGTTTATCTGGTGCGTAGGGAAGATGCTTTCAATTTGACTCAAATTTGCAAATCAGCTTGCTATTACTGTGGAAGAAAATGTCGTCCACGTGTCTGTGTGTGCATGTCTAGGCTCATTGTTCGAGGAGAGCTTATGTTTAAAAAAGAAACAACAGCATCTGCCTGTTGTATTATGGGAGAAAGTGTGAATATTCTAGGCCACTCATGAAATCCAAAACAAATCCATGACCCAGACATTCCACTTGGAAACAGATACAATTCCAATGACGTTCCCCTTGAGATGCCAGGGATTTATTCGGCTGGCAGGCGACACAGGAAACGAGCCGGGGGAGCCCTCTGCATTCCCTTCACATGCCAAAGAATGCCACTGTGACAGTACGGGCTGGCACACGGAGTGTTTGCAAATACATTGTTTTGACCTCCATGGAGTGCCAGATGGGTGGGCTCTGCCACACTGGACAGTACAGAGAGTTGACAACACCTTAAACACTTTTCATATCATCCAGTCTGTCTTCACTACCCGTCTGATGCTGTAGGAAGGTTCAACCAAATACATTCAAGTATTTGCAAATATTACAAAATGTATGGAAGCTTCATTTAACATTTTATTTATTTGTACAGTACAGCAGAGCAGTCGTAGCTTTGCAAAGCCAGCCTACAATTTCGCAGTATTTTTCACTAATTGACATTTCTCCCCTTTACCCCATTAGAGGAAGTTGGAAAACCATTGTTGTTATGGAAGTGTTAAATATATCCTGATGTGATAAAAAATCATGCTGCTTTTTCAACAACTTAATTGTGAAGAAATACGTTGCCCTTTTTGTGAGTGAAAGGAAAGGTGATACCACTCTTTTATCACTCCGTTTCATTTGAAGCTTAAGCTAGCATCTGGTTAGCTTAGCATAAAGGCTGGAAGCAAGGGGAAACAGCTAGCGTGGTTTCATTTATAGTACATCATTTCTTGTTTGTTTAATAGCAGTGGCTTTCTGGTGTTTTGTCATCACTCCAGCCAGTGAAATACCAAGAGAAGAAAGCTAGTAGATAAAGTTAGCTTTAAACGGAGCAGTGTTAGCTGTTTCCCCCGGTTTACAGCGTTTTGGCTAAGCAATCTGTCTAAGCGTCAAACGTACGCTCATTATTCACATGGCTAGTCAGGCTTTATCAAATCTCAGCACATGTATATCAGATTTGCTGCCTTTGGTGTGAGATGTAGGCTGACTTTGCAAGGCTAATGTAGCAGGGCTGCTAAACCCTGGTCCCTCAGTTTGTTTGTGTTAAAAGTCCGACTTCAACCATTTTAACAATGCTAAACAGATCTGGTAGGATCCTGTGAATAACAGTGATGGCATGTTGAGATACTTCTACAGCATACAACATTGAGCAATAATACAGGAAGAAATTCATTGTAGAGATGCTAAAATATCAATTATTCCAGAATGCACTGGAGCAGCAACTTGCCCTTTAACTTTAGTTCACTATCATTATCATCAATGATCGAATGACATACTTCATGGTCAGGCATTTTCTCCAGGGGTTTCCAGCAACAAATGCTTCACAAACTAAGCCCTTGAATGGTTTGGATATCACAGATATAATCCAATTAGTATGATCCACCAAATGTTAATGGCAGTCAAACTAGTTCTCAAGCATGCAGGCAACTGAAAGAGACCCACTAAGCGCAAATTCGTCCTGTTCCCATCGCAGCAGCATTACGAGGTACAAATACTGATTGGCTTCAACACTGACACCGTGTCATTGGAGGACAATACAAGCTTTGTTCCGACGAAGAGTGAAAACCTTGTCTCCAAAGGGGGAAAGCCTGATTAGCCTAATAATCCGTCTGACGAACAGAGGAGGCTGATAGCGATAATTAGCCTCTTGATAAGAGTGGAGAGCATTAACAAAGCGTTCAGATATTTGGTTAATTAATTTCCCCCAACGTTAGGAAAAAGCCTCCTCGCAAGGTATATTGAGTTGATCACTGCATCAGCTTACGTCTCCATTTAAGCCGTGCCCTTTTTTTATGCATAAAGTTTCAAAGACGCGGCGAGCTATCTTTCCCTTTTTCTTTTATTCTTTTATTCTCTCCACTGCTGACGGATGAAATCTTCACAATCGAAGCTCACCTTCTTCCACGTCCTTTGCTTTCAGGTCATGTGGGGAGGTTTTCTTTCTTCTCCTTCTTACTCCTACCTATCATTTCTCCTCTGGAAAGTTTTCTCGATGGCAGTTTTGTCCTGACTCAGCTACAGCCAGGTTTCCATCCGGGGAAAAATAAATGGCATTTGTTCTAGAACAGAGTCCATTATTGGAGTAGTGCTCATTTTACAGAGTCAATTGCATTTCTTTGAAATTGAAACAGGAGCTTTTTTGAATATTTCTATTGAACGTTAGTGTGTCTGTTCATCAACCTCTGGACATCAAAGCAATATTAAAAGTAACAAACAGACAGTGCTTTTAAAGGTCTCAGTATGCTTCAACTTGATGGTGTTGCCCAACCATATCGAAGGGCTAAAGTGTTAGCTGTACGAATGGCCACAGTTGAAGGTGGGCTGAAGAGCCTTTGTCCTATACTTGTATTGTTGCAATTAATTGGGTCAAAAAAGACATAAAGAGAGGTTAAACACTGCCTACTTTCCCACCGCCACAAACTAAGTGTACATTTGGATAGACCTGATTGACATTATGTCTCCTTTACAAACTAGAACAACCATTGTGGTTGTTCCTATAAGTGTCCTGAAATTAGTATAAAGGTCATGCTACGTTGTACCCATATAAAGGATTAGTTTGACATTCAGGGGAACAAGTATTTACTGTGTTGTCGATGGAAAGAAAACCACTTTTGTATAGTCCATACAATTTGAAGCTAACAGCCAGTTAGCTTAGCATTAGGACTGAAAGCTGCTAGCCCTGGTTCTGTTAAAAGGTAAAAGGATCTGCCTTCCCGCTCTTGCAAAGTTCCATTAGTGACTTCCTGGAGTTTTTCACTGTTAGGTGGCCAAGCAACCATTGAACTCTCAGAGAAGAGAATATGTAGTTACCTTTGGACGGAGCCAGGCTAGCCTCTTGAGATTTTGCTAAGCTAAGCCAACTTTCTAAACATGGGTAAAGGCTATTATGCATACAAAAATGTTCTAGGTGATGTTAGACAAACTGACAAGCACTTAATTTAAGCTTCACCACTGCATTCTTTGTTTTTAATGTCTGATTTGCACAGGATAAACATAGCAAAACTTAAGGTTGACTATCTTATGTTGGCAGAAAGTGGCACCAGATAGATTAGTAAAAGCTGCAGGTTTGATATAGAATTTGTCTCTCAGCAGTATTCCCTACCTTCTTCCTGATCCTGTCCTCGCCACAAACATTTTGCAGATGTGATGAGTTATTGCCTTGTCTCTTGGTGTCAAAACAAAAGCCACGAAAGTCATCCTGCGAAAGTCATTAGTCTAGGATGGCTGTTATTGTCAACAGAGCTCTGTGAGGAGAAATGATACATGAAGGAAATTGAGATGATTGAAACGTCTGGCAGATTATTTCTGTCAAAAATTCCGTGTGTGTGTGTCAAGTATCCACTTCAACCTGCCACTCATGACTTGTATGAACGTTCCCTCAGCGCCAGACTTTAATTTTCCCTCAGACGTGAAGTTGAAAAGTGTTGCCTGTCGTTTTCACTCGAGCTTTCGCACGCTGAGTAGTCGACTTCAATAGCAGTCATTGTGCTTTTCCCATATGGTTAAGTTATTGTAAATACTTGGAGTCGGTTTCCTCCTTTGAGTGGTGAGACACCGTTCTTCTGTGACATGACCTTTGCTTAGAAATATGCTGCATTACATAAAATGCTATTTTTAACATCCAAATCCTCGCCTCTTTAAGTGTAATCTGAATCTGACAAAACTAATTTAGTAGCCGGGCGATTGAAGACATTTGAAAGAAGCCTTTTTGTGGACAGGGGTGTCCGATATTTGGTTTTGCCTGTCAGATTTAGGAACCGTAGCTGCCACTCCTCTTCCCCAACTGACAGCCTGCTCTCCAATAAGCGTGCACTGATGAGTTGTTTGTGACGCTCCGCTCTTCCAGGCATCGCCCCATCCGTCATTTCAAATCAGCCTCCAGTGTACAAACTGACAGGGAGAAGAGGAGTGCATTCTCTGCATGGGGATATCCGGCCACCGGTGTTACTCTTTCCGCCCCGCTGTGGCAGGCAGCAGACATGATTTGATGATCTTAATTCAAAGTTCAAGCTCAGACCATTGCCCTTAATCAGCCAGTGGCAAATGGTCAATACGTTACATGAATACAAGCTAATGAGAAAACACAATAGGGGAACCCGAGGCTCTGACCCTCATCCCGCCGAGAGGCTTCTTGTAATATGCCTTTGTGTTATAGCATTTCAGAGGTGAAAAATCAGAGCTATTCTCCAGAAGGGGAAAAAAACATGTTGCCAGCTAGCTACTTTCTGGCTTTGTTAACATTGGAAAGCGTTGCTTAATGCAACCATCCATTCCATCAGGATAACACTTAAAGCTTAATTTTGCTTTTTCATCAGTGGATATGTTTATATGCATACTAATTGTTTCATTTAGCCACTGATTCAAATTGAATCCCTATACTAGTTTGGACCCTTGAATTGAATTATCCTGATAACTGAGAGTAACAGAGCGCAGCGTGCATACAAACATACCCATCTGCAGTGTTGGACTTTAAAGAAGTCGAGTCAGTAGGGGAGGGGACTGTATTTCTTAAATTGCTCCAGCTCCTGTTAAATCATGCTTTCACCCCTTCACGGTTACAGAGAAAATTGGAGGATAAAGGGCATTTATTTTATTGATGAAATCTTACCTTGGCGGCTCAGTGAAGAGAACATTCTAAAAGGAGGGAATAGATGACCTGACATTTTAGTGGCTTTCACCCCATTTACCTCTGCTGCCTGTGCTTGCTTTTGTTCAATTAAGTGGAGGTTACAAATATACCTGCTTATCAGCCTCTTTCAGTTGTCTCAGTGCCAGAGACATTATGGCTCTTTCTGGCTCATATGAACTGAAACACCTGCTCAGGCCTTTGTTTGGCATTAACAGGCCGAGACCAAATGATCAAATATGACCTTCTATTGACAGTACAGGAATAGCACATCCCAATAGAGACGTGGACAAAAGCCACGTACACGAGAGGCTCTGCCAGGTGCGTATAAGCCAGTGCTCGGTCTCTCAAAGTGTGAACATTATTCCTAATTCTTTTCAGTCTGTGAAATCCAAGGTCACCATCTGCTGTCCTCTTTTTCTGTAAAACTGGATGAATGGGAGCTGTGAAAGGAGGACCAATTTGTTTCGAAGACCACAGTGAAGGCTGGTGCTCCGAGTAGCGATTTAAACATGGATTTATTGTATGAGGTTATTAAGTCCAAGGCCCGCTTACTCTTCCCCCTTCTCTCCACAGCCCCACGACGTGATTATTGTTCGGCCTAGCTATTGACACACAATTACCTTGTGATCTTCCTGGAATAGAAGCCGTTCAATCTGTACATTTCTCTTTCTGTAGTGTTGATTGAGTGTGCTGCAAACCAATTGGTTGTGTCAACAGCCATTGTGTCTCAATTATGGAGTCTGCGAATGATTTATTGTTGTCTCCTCATCATCGTTGGCAGATGAAAGGTCTGAAATAGCTGATATTATAATATTATGTCATACTACGTGTCAGGGTGGATAAGCTAGTCTTACAAACTAGCGTCCTTGAAGCTTCGCGATATAGTAACTACATCTTTGACAATATTTTTCTTCCACCTCACACTTTTTTCCTGCCATAAAATGCTAAACAGATTGCCTGCCATCCTATTAGTTGGCATATTCAACCTTCTTCCAATAACGTATTTTGTGGTTGACTTTCGGAGGTAAACAATAAATTAGGCTTTGCCCTGTTTGCTAGCCCCATTAGCCACAGTCCAAGCTAGCCTCGTTCTCCTAAAGGTCAGCTAAATAAATAGTAAATGCTACAAATTTGCATGCAGAAGTTCAACAGAGTTCAAATATGGAAATCTATGCATGGATTTTGTTTTCTTCTGTGTAGACCATGTGTGGCTAAAAAATACAAACTGGATGGTTTACTTATGACAGGCAGGTGTAAGGTGACTAAAACATTCCAGATAAGTCAGCAACAACAACACAAATGGTTACAAATGTCCAACATTGTGTTTAGAGCCATGGTTTTGTATGACGGTGATACAAAATAATGTATTTTCTCAAGGCAAAAAAAATATAGTCCTGGTTAAATATTTGACTAAGTCTTGTGGGAATTTAAAAGTAGCTGGTCTCTTTCAGGTGCTTCTGCTTGGGCTTGAATAACACACAGTACTGTAAAAGCTTCCTACCAGCCAGCTTTACAACACTTCTACACAGGGGTGGAAGTGGATATTTATATATGGCCATCGTTTTACACACTGGATCAAAACTATTTCTAGATGGCCATGGACGCGGTCTACATTAGGATGACGGATTGATTGCTTCATATGAACAAAACATTGTATAGGTTTTCACTGGAGTATTTAAGATGTATGTATGGGTGCTTCACATGAGGCAGATTCACTTTACATTCCAGTTCTTCAATTGGACCTAAATCTGTATCAAAATGATTCCCCTGCAAGCCCCAGTATTTGTGTGTAGCAGAAAAGGCCTGGTAGAGATTGAAATCAGGTTCTTAGTGTACATTGCCGCAAAATCCCAAACTCAAATCACAGTCTAATGACTCCTTGGGGCACCCATACTGAATTTGTATGTGCATAAAACTGCTAGATAGAGACGAGGATTGTGTCGCTACCTTAAGTAGAAGACCAGGTTGACCTCCTCTCTGTCTTTGTATCTATTTGCTTTTTATTGTTATTGTTCCAGATTCATTTCCATGTCTATTTTGTGTCTTATTTCAACCCAGGCGATGTGATGACACAACTGTTGCATTGCCCTGGCAGCCCTTACATCTCTCTCAGAACGGCCTCTGCTCATGCGAGTAAGAGCTTTTGCGAACATCGGGCTTTGAATATTTGTTATTGTTGCATTTTTGTGAAATCTCGCACTGGGCTGGGCCTAATCAACTGTTTTTATTGTTGTGTGTCAAGAGGACTATTTCTGTATACAGTATGTGAAAATGTTTGTATTTCTCTTGACTATTATAATGGGTTTTAACCTGTGGAAAAAAAAAACAAAGGAAAAAGCTCAAAAAGAGACCAAATAAAATGTAACACTCCTTACTTGTTTGTGACTTTATTTATTTTGATAGAGGTAACTGAGAATTCTTGTGTTGAAAATAATGTTGTTTTGTGATTTCCAGAGACTTGGGTTTCTCAATTCTGATTTGTCACAATACCATTTGGACATTAATCAAAAACCTATATTCTCCATTTTTTTTTTATAAGAAATGTTTTATCCCTAAAAAATACATTTTATGTTCTCATCAAGAGATTTTTTTTACTTGATAATGAGTTTCCAAAATGTTGATTAACGTCCTTACCAAATGAATTGTTAACACATTGCGCATGTCCCGTTTTCATATTCACCTTTTGGGGTCAGATGTCATTTGGTCTCCAGTTGGCAGCTCTTTTATCAAGAAATCTAAAAAGTAGCAGAAGAAAAAATGTCCCCTTATATTAGGACATCTTTTCACATCGTTTACGGTCCATCAAATGGAAGACTATGGTTCAGTGGAAATAATGGCTCTGAATGTGTGCGTATCTTCCTGTAAGTGAGGGGAATTATGTTTTGTGAGACCTGCTGCTCTACAGCTATGGCAGGTGAGGACAGGGTGAGGACAGGGATGCACTCACCAGTGTGTGTCCAGTACCTTGTCAGAGCAATGGCCTGTATTTATGAAAATGATATAAAGTGGGGGAGCATTATATTAAACTCTTTTCTAATCATAATCACAGGTGGAAGAAGTATTCAGATGCCTTACTTTTAGTAAAAGTACCAATACATAATTGTCAAAATCCTCCATTACAAGTAAAATTCCTGCATTGAAAATCTTGCTTAAGTATCAGCAAAATGTACAAGTAATCTTAGAGCATACAAATTGCCTTTTAGTGTGTATATAATTATATTTATTTGTATATGTGACATTTCTAGATACAATTGTTGCATCAAGTAGCATTTTACTGTTGTAGACAAACTGATGGACTTTTAATAATTTCACTCTTTTGTGACTTAAATAAGTATTCTAGTTTAATTTTTAGAAATGCATTTTGTTAACATGAGCAAAAGCTGTTTAATAAATCTAGTGGAATAAAATTACACGTTTTCCTTTCATTAAGAAGCATTAAATATAAATTCCCAAGTAAAGTACAAGAACCTCCAAATTGTTCTTAAGTACAGTACTTGAGTACATGTACTTAGTTACTTCCCACCTTGGAATCTTTTCTAATAACAACTATAAAATCCTGCTTTTGAATGCATAAGTATAAAAAACTTGATATTTTACATCATCGTCCAGGAATAAATGTTTTCCTAGCCTAAAATAATTAAATGTTACTGCCACAACTCTAAATACGAATGTATCTCTTGTGTCTCAGATTTGTTATAGTTCGTGCCATGCCAACACATTGAGATATATCCACTGAAAATGTCCTCTTATTTTTTTTTATCTATTATTTTATAACCGTTTTTTAATCACACCTTAAACAAATAATTGTAGAAATTCTGACAAATGTACCAAAGATAATCCCGTCTTTTAATTGGTTGCTCAACACACATATGTCAATATGTCAAATAAATCTGTACAGGTGTTTTAGATTAAACTACGTTAACATTAAGAGCGTTTTTGTGTTATTTTTCACAACAGTTTTTCAAAGTGTGTGATATTCTGTCTTCTGAACTTCACTTTTAAAAGTTACAAGATGAGTGCCAGGAGATTCAACCGGATTTATTCCAACTTTTTAATTCTCTTTGACAACACCACAGCCTGAGGCATGAGGCTGGAGATGGACGGTCACGCTGACAGTCTTCTGTAAACAGTGAGTACATGTTTCTTTTACAAAGACTACAAGCTGTCGATTAACCAGAGGCGGGAAAAGTAGGCTACTCAGATCTTGCACAGAAATACTCTGTTCAAAGTAAAAGTATTGCATTCATAATGATACTCAAGTAAAAGTACAACAATATTACCATTGAAATAAACTTAAAGTAGCAGATTGGTCCATTTCAGTATAATATATATGATATGTTTTATAATGATTGATCATGAAAGTGTTCTCAAAGCTGGTAAAGGTGCAGCTAGTTTGAATGACTTTGTATACTGCAGGGTAGCTGGTGGATTTACTAAAGGTGGAACTAAAGTCTGATTTACATTACATTACATTTAGCTGACGCTTTTATCCAAAGCGACTCACAATAAGTGCGTTCGACCAACAAAATACAACCTTGAAGAAAACAGAATCATATAAGTACATCAGGTTTCATAGAGCCAAACATTTCAAGTGCTACTCAACTGGCTTTAGATTTAACACTTGGTTATATTTCACATCATTCATCCACATCTGTGAAGTAACTAAAGGTATTAAATACATGTAGTGGAGTAGAAGTAAAAAGTAGCAAAACATTAAAATACTCAACCCCCTCAAAATTGTACTTAAGTACAGTAGTTGAGTCAATCTAATTTACTTTCCTGCAATTAAGGGTCCTTGGCATTAATTGTTCAATTGTGTACTGTTTCATGCTACTGTGTGTTCCATGATGTCCCATATGAGGTGGAAAGTAACCAAGTACAGTATTATACTTAGGTACTGTTTTGACATATTAATACATTATTTGGTTATAGGCTATCCATTTATTGTTTTTATACGTTTACTCCACTACATTTCAGAGACAAATATTGTACTTTTTACCCCACTACATTTATCTTGACACTCATAGTTACGTTTTTACATATAACAACACATATGTTGATATTGTATAATGCAGTACTGTACTACTACACAGAATTTAAAGTACCTACATTTGGTTCACATTAACAAACTACCATTACATGCTCCTACATGTATAAAAACAGGATAATATAATAACCATAATATATAAAAGTGTGACAATATTATTTCTTTATTAGTACTTTTGAAACTTCATGTACTGCAGAATGAGTACTTTTACTCAAGCACATTTTTGTACTTGAGTAAACAGAGGTTTCTGGGGCCATCCATGTGTCTTATGATTTATTAAGCTTTAAGATATTAAGCAGTCTTTATTGCCAATGTACAATATTTCTAGTGCAAACATATATTACCCAGCTCACTATTGCCCTTACAGTCTTCTGCAGTATTTCCTGCTTCTTCCTCATTGAATGCTCAATGGTGTGGGCTGTCCAGACCCTGAAGCAGCTCCAAACCTTTATGGTCTCTTCACATCAAAGTTCACAGCTTGAATCATGTTGATGTTGCTTCTGGGAGAATGTATATAGATTGCTTTTTCTAGGATTGAGACGGTTAAAAGTGCCAAAAGCAATTCTCATCTTTGCAACAGACACTCTTCTTCTTTTTTCCCTCCACGGCTTCAAGACTAGAACTAAGTTTAATTATTCTGCTGCTAAGCAGAGAGCAGTTGAGGGAGGGAACTTCCTTCTTACTCTTTATTAATGTTTATAAGATGTTTTCTTTGGGGGATAAAAGGCCCTGATGTGAGGAAGCCAGGTTTGATTAAAGAACCGAGGCTAACATCAGAACAGCTGAAGCTCAGCTCTGTGCATATAGAAGATGCAGAGCATGATCCTTGATCACTTTAGCTATAGAAAGATTGAAAGTTGAGCAGTTTATTCTGCACATGAGGATGGGGGCTTAACATAGATCATGTCGCAGTGTTGAAGATGTCTGGGGTCAAACTACACGTGGTGGGGATAATATAGGAACATCGTTAACAAAAGGTCAGTGATATCGTTAACATTTAAACCTGTTGGACTGTTTTAGCTAATCTTAATTAAAGCTTGACGTGCTGAAGTAGGGGGGGGGGGGAGATAACGTTTTTGTTTTAGGATATCAAAAGTTAACGAATGTTTAAAGGGGTGAGATATGATAAAGAACATTTTCCTTTCCTTCAACTTTATTATTTAAATTTTCTGTGTCTTTTTTTTGGAAAATCTTTCCAAACCAATGCTATAGCAACATTTGGCCGTTTGTGTTTCTGGTCCCATGATATATGCAAGCGCAATATTCACTTTTCTTGGAGCATAGTTTGGTCTCTCTTAATGGTCTTCTGAGACAAAGATCTGAACCGTTAGCTGCTAAATGCTACAACACGTTCCCCAGCTAGTTGCTAACTTTGTCTGCCTGTCAACAAAAATATATAAACATATGAAATCTTTAAAAATAAATGTTAACCTTCCTAAATATAAGATATGCATACAAATGTAAACACTGTAGGATGCGATTAGAAATAATTATTTGAGTAACAAAGCAGCAGTGTGACGGCACTGCAGAGCCACACCACTGAGCTTTACAGACTTTCATTCACAGTGTCCATGGCAACAAGAGCCTAGGAGACTGGGCCAGAGGAGAGCAGGGTCAGGCTGCAGAGCGTTCCTCCAGCACGTCCTAGCTGATGCAGCTGATTCTCCATTCCCTGTGTTGACGGACTTGATTAGAAGGGAGATAGTGGAAGTAAAGAGCCGTGTCTCAGCGTGCCCAACCAGGTCACCAACATCAGAGGGGCCTCCTCCACTTAGGGTTGCCAACTTCCAGAAATGGAGAAACGGGACACATGCATGTGTCCCCGCGCGCGCGAAGATTTTCGGGTTTCTGGCGGATTTAGTTACTTTATTTTGGGGTTAGGGTTATGTTATTTAATTATTTTGGGGGAGCCAGCCCCCTAGGGTTCGAGGGGTCAAACCCCCCGAAACCCTCAAAATGCATAGAAAACTATGCATACCTATAACACAATACAAACACAATGATCTTACACCTGCATTAGGCTACTACATCACATTGTACATCAGCATGTTCAAATCGGATAGGTGGGCACTAGGGACATCTGGGCACCTCGATGTACAATTGGCTATTTTGTCCAAAATGTTAAAAAAATAAATATTTGAAAAATGGTATTAAGTAATGCAAAGTATACATGATGTGAACATGCACGGTACATCATTATTATACTTAATGTTATCCTTCAACCAACCATTTTCCCAGCATTCAGCACACACACACACGCGCACACACACGCACACGCAGAAGACCCGAGACAGATCTCCACTCACGGGCTTTACCCAACTGTGTTT